TGTGAGTGGCGTGGTGCTTGGTGCTGCTACGCTAGCACGCACGCACAGCCTAGCACGCCTAGTACGCTGCTGCGATGCTCGTGCTAGCGAGAGCGCTGCTGCTAGGCGTTGCCCAGCATGCAAAGCCCATAGCATAAGCACGCATAGCGAGCTGCTGTGCGAGTGCTATGAGATGCATGCTTGCGGCTAGGTGCGTGGCCAAGCACACTAGCATGCTAGCATGCGCTAGCTGCTAGCATGCTTGCGGCCTCATGCACCTGCCTAGCTAGAATGCTTGGCATAGCACGCAATACATGCTAGGCTTGCGGTATGACTTGCGATGCGCATGGTAGCTTAAGCTAGCCTAGCACTCGCATGGCTAGGCCAATGCAAGGCTACAGCCTAGCTCGAACTTGCCGCTTGTTTGATTTCTCGTCTCGTCGAATTCTAAACTAAACTTGACTTGCGACGCTCGGTTTCGACGCTCTAAGCTCGACATCCGACGTCTTTGTTCGTAATACTCTAATGACTCATCTAATCTTTCGGATTGATTTGTCGTTTCGGATCGGTTATTCGATAGGGGTGCGACCCGAAAGGGTTCAGTCAAGATTAAGCCGTAATATTAATTATGCATTAATATTACTGGTTGGAAGCGGCCTCCACCTAGGCATTCTAATCACTTGACCTCACTGAAGAATTAGCTTTCTAATAATTCCGAACCCTCTATAAGAATAATACACTTGTTGGAAGGACACCATTCCTTCCAATAAATGAGTCAATAAAGTATTTACGAACAAAGACGTCGGATTTTGAGATTAGAGCATCGAAGCCGAGCGTCAAAAGTCTAGTCGAATTTAGGAATTGACGAAACAGAAAAAAAAAAAATCAACCAAACGACAAGTCATTGCTAGGGCAAGATGGCTAGCATAGCTAGCTGATGTACACGTTTTATACATTGATTTACCCCGACTTTACATCATATTCTCGCTCGGTTTTGGGCTCTTTAGAGCCGTTTCTCGCTAACAATCTCTTCTTTAGTGTGTTCGATGTGTTTTTGTAAGTTTTACAGGAATTTGGAGTTTCTTAGATGATTCAGACACGTTTCAATTGTATATGGAGATGTTAGTGAAGCAAGGATGGAGAGCCAAGCTAAGAACGAGCTATAAAGCATTTAACCCTACTGTGCCCGGTTGGGCCATGCTTGCCCGGTTGCACCGGGCATAGAAGGGTTGCTGTGAGCTGCTAATTACGAAGAATTAAAGCAAGCTAAGCCATTTATCCCACGTGCCCGATCGGGCTATGTGTTGCACCGGGCGCGTGGTGGTTGAAGCAGCTACGAAGATACGAAGCAGCGCAATATTAAGGTTCCACCTGCCCGATCGGGCGGTGCTCGCCCGGTCAGACCGGGCAGGGTTATGCGCAAGTCGGTTTTCTTATTTTCGAGATTTTATTTCATTAAGGGTATAAATACCCCTGGTAATCATCATTAGAACGGACTTAGTTAATTCCTTAAGTTTTATTTCTCTCTCTGGAACCCTAGTTTATTTCTTTTAAGCAATTTAATTACTTCATTAGATTCAATTATTGTTCATCAACAATTTGAGTTATTTCAATTGAAGCATCATTGGTATTCATCTATTTTGTCTTCTCTTTCAATTATTATTGTTTTCAATTATGTTTTCTCCATTGATTATTGTTTTAGGGTTTGCTAATATGAGTGAGTAGTTTTTATATTCCAAGATCTAGGGTAGCCCAATTGTGATTGATGCATGAATTAATTCTTTAAATTCTCTAGTGACGATTGCGATTATTTATGCTAATTTGATTGTGATTATGCCAATACTAGATTAGAGATAATTAGTATTGTTATTATTCCATAGTTTTAATCACAACGAGAGTTGGGTTTTAACGGATTTGAGTAAATCAATTTAGGGTTTGAGATTCATCACGAGAGTAGTTGAATTGATAATTGGGAAGCGAAGTAAAGTGTTTAATGTCTCTAATTTGCATGATTCCATGAGAATAGGCTTGATTGTAGTTAGAGAAGTCATTGATACTTGAGAGAGGTCCTTGGTATTGATTAGGGTTTGCTTTTCCCCATGTTAATTGGATTTGTATCCTAGGGGTAGATAGATAATTGCATCGATCGTAATTGTGGTGATACTTGACCTTGGATGTTTTAGTTTATTGATTCATTATATTCTTTAGATTAGTTTAGTTCTTTATATATTAGTTTCTAGTACCATTCACCATTGATTTGATACTTGCTTAGTGATTATTTGAGTCTAATTAATTCGGTGAACCTTAGTCTCTTGGGATTCGATCCTCACTTGCCCGTCTACATATTAGTGGTTTCGTTAGGTTATTTTTGTTAGGTGTGAGATCGCCTATCACTAGCCAAGGTTATTGCAGCAAGGCGATGCTCAGACGCAAGCTCAGCATAGCCGAGCATGCCTTGTGCACATCGCAAGGCCAGCATGGTTGGTCGTACTTGCTAGGCAAGATAGAAGCCAGCCCCGTATCATCACAAGGCCAGCAACAAGAAAATGATCGCTGATCGTCGCGCATGGTTAAAGCAGCTAGCTGGGCTCAACTAGCACAAGCAACGCATCAGCAGCAGCAGCGCGCATTACGTGCGTGGCCTGCTGGCTGTGCGTGCGTACGTGTGAGCTGGCTGGCAGGCCTAGCCATGGCGCTAGGCGCCAGTGAGGCTGCTTTGGCTGCCAAGGCATGCCGCCAACTGGCGTGCTCCCATTGGCTCGATTTGTGTTGTGTGAGGATGGCTTGGGGAGCAAGGGAAAAGTGGTCCTCCCATGCGGTCCTCACCTAACCACTTGGTCTCCTCATGCCACTTGTCGTTTGGTGATTCATTTGGATATTTAATTTAATTTAAAATTCCATTTTGCATTTCTTCCAAGCCTCCCACATTGATGGAAGATGGGATTTCAAGGGCTCATTTCCCTATAAATACCAATCATTTGGCTTTGGGAAAGAGCACTTGAGTTGGTGAACTTTAAGGGATCTCCAAGAAGAGAAAACCTTTGTTAATACTCCAAGTTATTTTTGTCCTATCCCTGACTAAGCTTCGGGGTAAGGGCCGGCTCGGTTTGGGGAACGAGGGTGTTAGCCGTCGGATGTTCGTGCATTTGTGGGACTCTACGCTTTCAAGTCCGAGCTCAAAGTGAGAGCGAAGCACGCTTCAAGGGTAATGATTCTTTCTCTATCTTCTTGTTAATCATGTGATTATGGTTTTAATACATGCTTAGTTACTTTAATTTGTGTGCGAATTTTGGGCGGGTTTCCTTCCGCGTGATGTTGGACATCACGAAACCTAACAAGCACAATTTCTTTGATTTGATCAAAGATTGTAAGATTTCTCTTTTTCTTAATTCAATCTCTCTGGATTTGATTTTGATTAATTGTTGCAATTTCAAGTTTATTGATTGGTTTAATTTTGATAGTTTGTATTGCAATGATGATGATGATTTTGATGATTAGTTTAGTTTTGTTTCTTCAATTCACCATGATTAGTTAGTAGATTCTTTGCTAGGGTGATGGTGAAGCATGCATGAAAGATGGATCATTGTTAATTGAAGGATTTTGATTGATTGAATGTTGTGATTAAATTGGTTGATAGAATTGTGCGTGTTTGAATTGATAAGGAGTAGCTAACCTTGATTTTCAAGCTAGATTGCATTGTGATTCTTAGTGACATGACCACTTGATTTAGGGATTGCATTTATTGATTGAATTTGATTTGTGATTCTACTTGCTAGTCATTCATAGAGGAAATATAGCTTGACTCCTAGGACATAACCTTTTGAGTTCTCTTGCTTGCGATTACTATATTCCCTTGCAACATTTGGTTGATCGATTTCCCCCTGAATTGGCATTCCTATCTTGATTGCATGTGGATCCTAATCCCTAGTGTTTTTGATATTGAATTTCTTCATTGTTTTAGTTGCTTGATACTATATTTAAATAATCAAAACTTTCTCATTCTCCGAAGTAGCTTGACCATAGGCTATGGTAACCTTTCTCCCATTCCTCATGGTTTGACCCTTGACTTACCCCTATACTCTGTGTAGGATCGTTCGAGTGTTTACAAATTTTGTTGATAAGGTTTTTAGCATTTAACGACGTGTTAAGATCCTCTATCAAATGGCGTTGTTGCCGGGGGGTGGCGTAGTTTGTTTTCTATAGTTGTTGATTCTATTTCATTTAATTTGGAAACACAAAAAGATTTTCCTCTTTAGGCTACATTTGTAGTCGTGCTACTAATTGTTTCCTTTGAGATTGTATGCACAGTGCACGAGACCGACCACTAGTGCCTTTTGATTCGGAAATTTAAAGGACAATTTCTAGAAGGAGAGTTGCTTAAAGGTCCTTGAGCCCCAATCATTCACAAGAGGAAGTTCAACAAGAAGATGAACAAGCAATCATGGGTGAAAATCCGAGTGTAGCTTTGAAGGAGGTAGGCATACTCGGTGCAAATAGGTTTGAAAGTGGCATAGCACCACCCACCACTCCCGCAAATGACTTTGAAATAAGGCCCGCAATGATCACATTGATAGAGAGGCGACAATTTAGTGGAGCCAAGCACGAGAGTTCTCTAAACCACCTCAAGGAATTCGAAAAGTATTGCAATACCATCAAAGTGAATGGAGTTTCTCAAAAATTCATCCGCCTAAAGCTTTTCCCCTTCTCACTCATAGGGAGAGCTTTGGGAATGGTTAGATAAAGAGGTGAAGACTAATTGATTGCGTACTTGGTATGAGGTCACAAAGGAATTGCTATCTCGATTCTACTCCCAAAAGAAAACAGCGGAAGCTAGAACACTCATCCAAAGCTTCAAGCAAAAGCCAAGTGAAAGTTTGTATGAAGCTTAGGAGAGGTACAAGGAGTACCAAAGAGAGTGTCCTTATCATGGGATTCCAACCTATCAAATAATTCAAATCTTCTATGGAGGCTTGAGCCCTCAAGGGAAGTCTTGTCTAGATGCGGGAGCCGGAGGTCCAATCATGAATAGAACGGAGGAAGAAGTTGTTGATATCATTGAAGATGTAGTGATGCATTACATGGATTGGCAAGATGGTGAGCAAGAGTCCACAAGCAAGAGTAGCTCTACGGTTTATTTCGTTGATCATCTCAATGCGACCAACAATACGTCATCACCAATCTCAAATATAGGGAAGGAGATGACCTCTATCAAAGCCAAATTGGAGAGCACTTCTTCACAAGCGCCTGTTCTTCCCTCCCAAAATAAGGGGAGAGGTACATCTTCTAACTCTCCTCCTCCTTTTACTTCTAATAACATGCCTAGTGGTTCTTTGTTTTGTGATGTGTGCGGTTCATATGATCATAATGCTTCTAATTGCCCGCATTCTTCTTCGGATGCATGTGTTGATTTTGATAGCAATGAGAGAGAGCATGTGAACTATGTGTATAATAATAATGGACCAAGGTTGATAATTAAAGAGGTCAAGAGAATAGGAATTATCACAACCAAGGTAATTTTGACAATTATAACCAAGGTGGGGGTTATAGGAACCAAGAAAACCAAGGTTTCCAAGGTATATATAACAACCAAGGTTATAGTAGCCAAAATCAAAACCAAGGTTAAAATTATCATAACCAAGGTTATGGAAATCATAACCAAGGTTATGGTAACCAAAACCAAAGTTTTGGCAATCAAAATCAAAATAGGAGAAATTGGAACAATCAAAATAGAGGAAACTTTCAACACAATGCTCAAAGGGGTCCCCCTCCCGGTTTTGTTCCGATTCAAAGACCCAAGATCAAGGTGATAATTCTTATGCTCTACCCTCTTCTTCTTCTAGGTCTAATTTAGAAGAGATAATTGAAAATCAAACGAAGATTTTGAACACATACATGGTGGTTAGTGATAAGAAATTCAATGAAATGATGACACATTGCAAGATGCTTGAGACCCAAATCACCCAACTAGCTAATACTTTGAAAGAAAGTGCTAGTCCCTCTTCTCTACCCTCCTAAGGGCTTGAACCCAAGAAAACGGTCTATTCTATCACCACTAGGAGTGGTAAGGTCCTTCAAGAGAGTGTTTCTAGGAGGAATCAAGAAAGTGAGAAGGTGAGTGATTCATCCAATGATGATGAGCATTATGTGTCTAGCAAGAAGTGTGAGGTTTCTAAGGAGAAGGCCAAGATGGGAGAGAGTGTGCAAAATGAAGTGAGAAAACCCAAACATCCCTACCCCCAAAAGTTCTTGAGGAACAAGATTGATGTTCAATTTGGGAGATTTCTTGACATGCTTAAGAAGATTCATCTTTCTATCCCTTTCATCGATACTTTGAAACAAATGCCAAACTATTCTAAGTTCCTTAAGGATATCTTGAGTGGAAAAAGAGAATGTAATGAGATTGACTCGGTAAAGGTTGGGGAATGTTGTAGTGCTCTTATCTACAATGACTTAGCCAAGAAGATGAAAGATCCAGGTAACTTTTCAATACCTTGCAATATCAATGGAAAATTGTTTCAAAATGCTTTTTGTGACCTTGGTGCTAGTGTTAGCATCATGCCATCTTAGGTGAGCTCAACATGACCCTACAATTGGCCGGCCGTCCTATTAAGTTCCCTAAGGGTAGAATTGCAGATGTCCCCCTCAATATAGGAGAGTTCACTATCCTCGTTGACTACATTGTGCTAGATATTGCGAAAGTTGATAACATTCCTATCATTTTATGGAGACCATTCCTAGAAACTTCGGGTGCCTTGATAGATGTGAAAGGTGGCATTATTGCATGTGGTTGAATTGTTAAGGAGTGATCAACCTTGATTTTCAAGCTAGATTGCATTGTGATTTCTAATGACACGAACCATTGATTTAGAGATTGCAATTATTGATTGAATTTGATTTGTGATTCTTCTTGCTAGTCATTCATAGAGGAAACCTAGTTTGACTTCTAGGAGATAACCCTTTGAGTTCTCTTGATTGCAATTACTATCCTCCTTTACAACATTTGGTTGATTGATTTCCCCTCAATTGGCATAACCATCATGATTGTATGTGGATCCTAATCCCTAGTGCTTTTGATATTGAATTCCCTCTTTAGTCTAGTTGTTTGAGACCATAGTTAGTCATATTCAACATCCTTCTTATTCTTCGAAATAGCTTGACCTTATGCTATAGTTTCTCCCATTCCTCGTAGTTCGACCCTTGACTTACCCTATACTTGGTTTAGGATTGGTCGAGTGTTTATAAATTTGTTGATAAGGTTTTAAGCATTTAACGACGTGTTTAGACCCTCTATCAGGTTGATATGAGGAAATGTTACCCAAAACTGTTTGACTAAGGTTAGTGGTCGAGTTACGGGGGCGTAACTTTTTTTAAGGGGGGTAGAGGGCGGTAGAGTTTCGCACATTTGCATTTCGAGTCATTTTCGAGTGAATTTGAGTCTTTCTTGAGTTAGTTATAGTCTTGAGTTGGGTTAGGATGTGCATGAACCAATAATTTAATGATTATCGTATCTCTTTTGGCTAAGTTTAAGGACGAAACTTCTTTTAAGGGAGGTAAACTGTAATATCCCGTATTTTTGAAACGTATTTTCTAATTAATTAATATTTTCTAAAAAGGGTATTTTAGTAATTTATTTTACTGTTTGAATTTTGGAGCCAAAATGATATTTGAATTTTGGCGCCAAAAGCATTTTAAAACTTAATTATTATGTTTGGATTTTGGATAGATTTATTATCCAGTTATTTTATTTTAAAACCGGATTATATATATATATGTATATATATATATATGTATATATATATATGTATATATATATATATATATATATATATATATATATATATATATATATATATATATATATATCGGATATTTTAATTAAGCAAATTATATTTTCTTACTTAATTAAAAGATCTGAATTTCCTAATTAATTAACTAGGAATTTTCGGATTTTCTTGGTAAAGAAATTCTAATTTTAATAGTGAGATTAATTAGTGAATAATTGGTATTTTCCTAATTAATTACTTTATACAAAATATATTACTTACACAATCATTTTTATTCCTCAAAATTTAGCAAAATATTTTCTAATCCGTATTTCCTATTTATTTTGGTTCGCCCTGTTTACCTTAATGGTAAGCAGTGTTGACTATTTTTAGGTGGAGTCAATAAATGAGCATTTGGGAGTTCCGGGATATTTTTCATCCAGTTTAGGAATGTTGGTTTTGTTTCTATTTTTGAGTACTCTTAACAATGGTTACTATTTTATACTAAGTATTAATAAAAGAAAGAGTCTGAGTTTCCGCTGCAAAGTTATGGTTTTGGTTTGTAGTTTTTAGTAGCCTTGCGTAATCGCGCGGCGATAATACGCCTAAGTCTATCTCTACGGTATAATTATACGTATTATACTGGTTTTTTCGTAGAGGAAGATTTGGGGGTGTTACAGAGACTCTTGCTCCGTTCGTGAGTTCGTGCTAAGTGGAAAACACGCCTCAAGGGTATGAACGTCTTTTCCCCTCTCTCTTTCGCTCCCCTTTATGTGTTTATTGTTTAATTAATTATATGCATGTTTTGGTTTAGTTGCTCTAATTTGTGCATGGGTCCTTGGGCGGGTTTTGGTTCCACGCGGTGTTCGCACACCGTAAAACCCAACATGTACAATGAGCCACGTTTCTTCTGACTACTCAAGCCACATATGTAGATGGAGTTAAATTGTTATGTAACGCCATCTCTTTGCCGGTCGTCGTCAATTCACTTACAGCTTAGGATTTCCAAACCTTCACCTCCATTCAACTTTATCCCTCCCCACCATTGTCAAACTAGATCCCAAAATTGCCTTCTATTTGTATCGGTAAGTTTTCTTTGCATTGTTTGCTTGGTTTATGTTATATTTTGTATAAATCTTTATTCAATTGAACTCATGTTTGAGGTTGCTGTGTATGTTCCTAATTTTTTTTTTCTCCAACCATTGTTAACCATAAAAGCCTTACTCCACCACTTCGATTTTCGATAAATCTACCTTCAAACTTGCTACACAAGTAATGATGAACAAAGACTTACCTTTCACGGGTCTCCACACTTCCAACTACCTTCAATAAATTGTTGTGATTACTATTACTCAAAAAAAAAAAAAAATTGCGGTTATTACTATCCAGCTTCGCCTACAAGAAACACACACACTTACTAACGGAGTAAACGGATTTAAATTGCGGCGTTAATAAAACGCTTGTCTACCTGTGACTTTTCCCAACTGACTCATCTTACTCTTTTTAAATTTGCTGAGTTGGTGTAAAAGATTGACATAGTAAAACAATCAAAGAGATTAACTGGGCAGTGCCCGTTTATTCAATTGTGTTTATATTCTTGGTTTTATTTTTTTATTTTTATTTTTTTTTGAATAGATTTTCTTGGTTTGTTTATTTAGCAAGGATTGAAGATTTAGAGTTTCATTATCACCGTGACTTCGTGAGTATCTAGAGGATTTCAAGGATATTTTTGCTCAAATGACTATACATTTGTGGATTTCAAGCCAAATCTGTGCTAACTCACAATTGTATGACTTGAGATGAAGTTTTTTTATGGCGGTTATTGATCAAATCTTCGTTTTTATACTTGTGTTGAAATATTAGATTTATTTGGAATTATTTATATGTTCCATTAGACTCTTTCATTAATAAATTCCTTTTTTTTTTTCTTCCTATATAAAAAACAATTAATCATGAGTGAATGTATCACGAATTGAGTTAAAAACCAACCCTTCAAAAATCAAAATAGTGGAGAAAAGAAAGAGAAGTTTTTGCGAGTAGGAATGAATTTCAAAATTCCCTGCTAACGTGGAGTCGCGCTACTGCTGATGCAGAATAGCATCACTGCCTTGTTGTAACGCTCATCTCCCAACTCTAAATGGCCTCATTTTCATTGAATTCACTTTCCAACTCCAATCAACCCTAGTCTTCTTCCTCAATTCCTCTCCATTAAAATCTCTTTGCCGCCGCTTGTTCGACAATGGTGGCTCCAACTGGCGATCAACCCAACATCTCCTTCCCTGGCACGCTAGCTAGCAGTGCATTCGCTGCTTGCTTTGCTGAGGTGATCAATCAGTACTCACTCTTGAAATTTATGCTTGAATTCAATTCATGCATTTGATGTTTAAATTTTATCTAAATTTTGAGTGTTGGCGTTTTTTTTTTGTCGAATCAAATTTGGTCTGAATTTTATCCCGTAATTCTTTTGATTTGATGGGAATTGGTGTAAAATTAGAGAAAAATGAAGTATGATAATCAAGGGATTTCAATTGTTGTGATTTTGGATCTATTCAGATTACTACTGTTTGTTGATAGTGACATTTGGTTTGTTTTTTTAACCTTATTTGCTGATAATATTTGTTTATGTTGACCTTTTCAATTCTGGTGAAAGGAACATATATCATGTAGAATGGATAAATATGTAGTATTCTAAATATGAATATATAGAAGGATCGAGGCTGTTGGAAATAAAATGGTTGATATGTTGACGATAGTAGTTACATATCTATGTTAATGATGAAGAATCTTATGCTAATTAGTAAAAATTTCAGATTGAGGTTAATGAAATGTGACATGATGACGGGTGTAAACGATGAGGCGATTAATGAATGGCATTCAAACAATTGTTTTTTTTTGCACATATGTTGGAACCATTACTTCTTAGATGGCGAACCTTATTTATGTGGGTGATGTAGGTATGTACCATCCCTTTGGACACTGCCAAAGTTAGGCTGCAGCTTCAGAAGAAAGCAATTGGAGATGCAGTAGCTTTACCAAAATATAAAGGTATGCTCGGTACAGTGGCAACTATTGGCAGGGAAGAAGGGCTAGCTGCGCTATGGAAAGGAATCGTGCCAGGATTGCATCGTCAATGCCTGTTTGGTGGTCTAAGGATTGGGTTGTATGATCCGGTAAGTTTTAGTGATTTTTCCTGATTAACCTTATAAGTCATGTCATATCCATCAAATGAGTGTAGTTTTATGTTGCAATTTGTACAGGTTAAGACATTATATGTGGGTAAAGACCATGTTGGCGATGTTCCCTTGTCAAAAAAGATACTTGCTGGACTTACCACCGGTAGGGTACATAACACAAACTATTAGTTTTTTGCTGGGATAAAATACTCAAGCTGTCAGTTTATTGGAGGGCTTGATGACACCAAAGATAATTGTCATGCTATATTAGTGTTTATTCAGCAGATTGAGGGGCTAACATGTCGGTATTCTTTGCAGGCGCTTTGGGAATCATGATTGCTAATCCAACTGACCTTGTAAAAGTTCGCCTTCAAGCTGAGGGGAAATTGGAATCCGGTGTGCCAAGGCGCTATTCTGGAGCATTAAATGCCTACTCTACTATTGTGAAGCAGGTTATTGCCTATTTGGAGCTACATTAGAACAGTTGGTTTTCATACAAACCCCTCTCTCCTTGTTGGTTAATCCTTTGGACTTTCAGGAAGGACTCAGGGCCTTATGGACTGGCCTTGGGCCAAATATAGCACGAAATGCCATCATAAATGCCGCTGAACTGGCTAGTTATGATCAAGTGAAGCAGGTAAATTAGGTTTTTCGTTCACTGTTTGGTTCTTGATTATTTTTTCTTGTCTTTATAATTATAATTGGTTTACTGTCTCATACTTTATACTTCGTATTTTATTTATACTGCAGACCATTTTGAGGATACCTGGATTCACCGACAATGTTGTCACCCATTTGCTATCTGGTCTTGGAGCTGGATTCGTTGCTGTCTGCATTGGCTCACCTGTTGATGTGGTTTGTCTTTCACTGTACTGAGCAATCCATCAGTATTATGTGCGGTTTAATCTCTAGACATTGACTATTAGTGAACTGAAACTGTCAATAGGTGAATCTATCATCTAAATTCACCAATGACTGGGAATGGACTACTATATATTAAAATGCTGACCTAATATAGGGACAATTTGGAATGCAATTTTGGTCTTCTGATTATAGAAATGTATATGGTTGCCGGTGGTTATTGGTTAAATATTTATAGTCAATTGTCTTGAAGGAATCTTGTATATGCTTAGAACAATTAAACTGGTTTTAGAAATAGTACATTGCCAACTTGGGCCGTGAATGGAAAACATCGGACATAAGGGCTTAGAAGTTAGAATGTAGCATTTCACTACTAAAAGAGTAATTCCATTTAGGATGAGATGAGTTAGATGGGAACTAGCTGATTGATATAAGAAATTAAAGTCTCCTGTTCTGGTTTGGAAGAGGAAAATTTAGGATTTTTGTGCAAGCTCTATTGTTTCTAAAAGGGCTACATTATATTTTAACAATTATTCACTAGTTTTCTCACAAAAGCAAATAGATAATGTAAGATACCAGCTGGCGAAGATTATTGTGAATTTTTTTTTAATCCAAATATGGAACTGGATAAGACCATAAAAGTTAAAACATTAATGATTCCACAAATTTCGAATGTTATCCTGTAAATATAAATTGAGCAAGAACTAGGAACTTTATCAGGTTTGCTCAAATGCTCATGTGGGATGAAGCAGATCCCAAAAAAATAAAATAAAAAGAAAAATAAATAAATTTCTGAGAAGCAGCAGAAATATAGAAAGGCCTTCCTCCCTTTTGTAGAATGTGCTTCTCACATCGGGATACAAAAATCTAGAAGAATTATGGTAGATTTCCATTCAGGGACTAGCATTGATTCAGAATTTCTAATTCATGCGGTAAAGATTCAATGTCAAACAATTGTATGTATCTCATGGATTTTGACAGGAAGAAACATACGAAGTATCAAGTTCGAATGATGTAAAAAGTGCGGAAAGTAAAGTATCTTCTCGGATTCCAAGATTAGGAGTATTCTCTCAGTGGAGAATTAAATATCTGCAATTAATGATTGCTCTATTCAATGAATGTTTTTTGAATATCTTCCCCTGGTGGGAATATTTCCCTATTTATAGAGTCTTGGAATTTGTGTTGCTTTTCTAGATTACGGAAACCTAGGAATTGTGGGCTATCTTTCCCAATCATTGGGGATGCCACGTGTTAGCAGAGGAGAGGTTCATTTTGAACCTCTCTAAGGGTGACACGTGTCACCATCTTATTGGGCCACGTTGCCTTGGGTATTTTTTGGCCACCTGACCGTCTGCCATTCAAATCGGATGCTCAATGGACGATTGTCCGCTTGGGTTAGGGCAATCACCTTGGTGATTGATTGACCCGAAACACTAGTCATACCCTTTTTAAAACCAAGCGCACATTTGTCCAGGGGCAACTACTTCCGGTGCATCCGGTAAACCACATGTATTAGGCTACTTAGCAAAATATGTGCATATTGAAAAAATTGCAGATTGAAAAATTAATGCAAAGATTGACGAAACCGACTCAGTCGGCTAATTCATTAAAAGCCCCAGGTATCAAAAACCGGGAGCTGAAGATTGTCACACCAGTTCCACATCCGGAAAAATAACAGATTGTTGATTGAAGTTACATAGAAATACTCGGCACGCAGGCCGGAAACAAAGAAGTTTATTTTTGTTGTTGCTGAGGAGGAGGCACCGCTGGTCCTGACCGGATGGGAGCGCGCTTTCAGGTTGCCTTGGTTGAACTTGATCAGTGTCAACCGACACTTGCTCTTCTTGCTCCTTATGCTCCTCATCAGACGCTTCAATGCCGACCCATTCTTCAAAGGGAGCCGGCGTTTCAAGACCAAGGGACTGGGCATCATATACCTCAGAGGCATACTTGTACCTCAAGTTAAAAAACTCCTAGCCATAGTCCGGGTGGATGAGATTCCATGCCATTTTCATGCGAGCTTCACAATCTCGCTCATTCTCATCCACGAGCCTTCTTGTTGTTCAGCAGCCAGCTTCGCCTTGTGGCCAATTTGCCCCGCCAGCTCGTCCTTCAGCCGGGAGACGTCTGCCCTAAGCTGGGTATTCTCCTTATCAGCATCTAAGGTTTTTTATTTGAAGCTCAGGGTCAGCGTCTTAGTATTGGCCGTCTCCACAGCAGTTGCGAGCTCCTTGATCAGCCCCTCCTGTTTCATCTCTCGGGCTTTAGTCCTTATTTTATTCATTGTACATTTGTATTGAGCAACATCAAGGGTATCAGTCGCCCGTTTATTGGCGTCTCTTACCTCCTCTTGCTTCTTTTTAAAAGGGACTTTGAGTCCTTCCACTCTCGGCGTTACCTGTAAAACTCAGCCGGCAAAATGTTAATTTACCACTGTTAACTCATTCGGCAAAAAGTTAATCTACCTCAGGTATCTCAGCCGGTAAAGAGCTAATTTAGCTCAGTTAACACAACTGCAAATTACCTCAGCAAGCAAGGCATTGATGCGGTCCATGTTGACCTGATGCACCCCGGGACCGACTCCTCTTCAGATTGGGTGAGGCACCTCAGCATGCGTCTGGAGGTCAGGCTGGAGGTTAGGCCATCTTGGAGAGGCATCTGCACCAATAAAGTGAGTGATGTGGTGAGATAGCAGCATAGGCGGCACCTATACTTTGCCGGCTGCTAGAGGAATCCCCCGATTGGGTAACTTGGGATTTGATTCGCATAGGCCCAAGCGGCTATGGGGGATCAAAGATGTAAGCCATACCTTGAGGTTCAGACTAGGGGTCACCCCACCCCCGCCGCTACAGAACCGGATGCAGCATTGAGTGGCATGCCACTCTTCGGCGTCTCAGGGATGCCCGACTCTTTGTCAGCTTGCTCGGTACTCAGACCAAGATCCTTCAGGCTAGCCTGCAGAAGTTGGCCCGTCTTGTATAGGCGACCTTGATGATGCCGACTGGGCAGGCGGGGCTTTCCTGGCCTTAGACGGAGCTTTGGAAGGTTCCTCAGCCTTCCGTTTGAGCAGCATCTTGGAGATGGAGCGTGGAGCGTTCTTACTCCCACCCTGAAAAGTCAAACACAAGGGTCACAGCCGGTTAAAAGCTGCCTGATGACAAAATTTTTACTAGATAAGGGATGCAACCGATGCTTACCCCATCATCCTTGGCCATCAGTTGGGCCCTTTTCTTTTCCAATTGATCCTTCCGAATCTGACGTAGCCAGCGTCTTTTTAGGCGGAAACATTTCTAGACCTTTTTTTGCAAAAGGAAACCGGTTGGTTAAATAAAAAAATAACACAGAATCATAGAGACAACACAAAAGTGCCGGTTAAGTGGTCTACGTACGTCTATCATAAAAGGTACTAAGGCCCCAGGCGGAGAGGAAAGCCTCATCCTTGAGCCAGTCCGGTACCCAGTTCTTGGGTACAATTATTTCGGTTCCATCATCCAGAGGCATGGTGGTCCTCTTGAAAAACTCCGGCTCCATTATTTGTGCCCAAGCCTCCTCCGGGACACGCGAAAGGACACACTTTTTCCCCGGGAGAGTCGGCTCCTTGTTGTAGTGATGGAGCATACGGTTTAGACGTCTGGATGGAGAGGAAACCAAGTAGAACTTGCTTTTCCAGTTGCTCCACTTATACGGTTTATCAAGTGTCATCATATACTCCAGATGCGTGGTTAAAGTGTACCACGCCTTCCAGCCGTCGTGTGGGACACGACTTAGGTAATGCATATGTGCAAACGCCTCATAGCTAGGCGTTATGTTTTGAAGTTCACAGGCAGCGACATAGCTAATAATGTTCACCCAAGAATTGGGCGTGAGTTGCCATATGCCAAGATCATAACCCCTTAAGATGGCTTTGATCGCGTCATGAAGGGAAAACCGGAGGCCGACTTTGAATGCTGCCTCATAGCTGCCGAAATAATTGTCGATATGTTCAATGTCGTCATCCCAGACGACTGTTGCCTCAGCAGGTGGCACAATGATTTCCCACCTATCCCACATTGGACATTTTTCTACAAAGGTGGGAAAGGTGGTTGTTAGGGTGACATTATTCCCGGCAGACATGTGCGCTTTAGTTGGGTTGGATGTAGGCGGCCACTTGTACGCCTCATCCTCCTCACTGAGTCAGATCGTTGGACGGTCTCAACGCTGTCTCTTTGTTCAGAATCCTCCAAAATGCTGTGACTTGGAGTGCTAGGTGCACCCGGAGGATCATCATACTCTCTGTCGGCACCTCGGCTGAGTCGTCTGATCTATAATCTGGGTCAAGTGTCGTCCGCTTCGTCCGTGTGTGTTATGGGTGAATCCATTATTCAATGCAATATATACAGACGGTAAAAGCTTGAAAGAGTTGCGAAGGGGAGAGACGGTACCTCGAAAATGTTTCTAAAAGTGAAGAAAAGCGTTGACCGGCTGTGATTAGGAGACAGAAATCAGTCAGCTGCTTGAGAGAGGTACAAACGGTTAGCCGAATGTACCCACTTGGAAAGCAAGAGAATTTGCTGGAAATATACCCAGACGGTTCTCGAAAGCCCTGTTTGCTGAGTGCACGGGCGGATGACCGGCTGTAGCTACTTTGAAAGCAAGAGAATTGGTTGGAAGGTGCCCAGACGGTAGTTCGGCTGTATCTAGTTGAAAAAGGGGGCAGTTCTGGAATATACCCCGGCGGTTTTGAGGTTTCTTGTTTGTAAGCTACACAGACGGTATACCGGCTGTATCAGGCGGAAAAAGTAGAAAATTTTGTGAAAACAAAGGCAGACGGGATCAGAGCTTCTCTCTAAAAACTTCTCTCTCAATTTTTTCAGATTTCTAAAATGAGAAACGAGAGGAGGGGAGTCTTACTTATAGAAGGGATGGAAATAGGGGAACCCCTATAACTTCCCCGGAAGGCGAACCGTAAAAAAAAAAAAAAATACCGTTCACCCGTCTGCATGTGACACCTGTCA